AAAACTCCAGTTTTAACTTATTAATCCTAATCGTGCCCTGTGGAACCATTCAGAAATATGCCCATATGCTGGCTACTTGAGATCCCCATGGGGATTTGAATCCATTTATCACATCGTCTTCACAATTTTCTCTCTAGTCACTCCTCTGAACATGCTGAGATCCTTGTGCTTCAAGCAGACTACAGTTCTTCAGGGCAGAACTGTACCACTGCCTCTCTCATTTCCTACTCTATCCATGTGGCCTAGGCTATATAAAGATGACTGTGCAGGCTATACCAGTGTTGCTACCCCAGCTAGCCTCTTCTGGGGCCAGCTGAATAGAAGCCCCTGCTTTGGGCCAGAAATGATATCCAGAAACAACCAGAGAACTGACTCCTCTAGGGCAGATCTGCTCCAAACTGAGCTTAATGAGGATCCAGTATCTCTAGCATTTAATTAAATCCTGAGCAGACTGGGGTGGAGCCCACTCAGTTCGGGGGCCCCAGGTGCTCAATTCTATCTCTGGCACTGTCATGCTTTGCTGCAGTTCCACTCAGATGCGGGATCCTTGTGGGTTAGGACAGTGCTGAGCAGGAGTTGGGTGGGACTCTGTACCCAGGCCTGCCTGCCCCCACTCCTGCCCAAGTACCCTCCTAGCTCCCTATGCCCCAGGGATATGTGCGCCACCTCAAGGAAGTCTGCCACTGAGCTGATCTGCAGTAGAAGTCACAGGATGTGCCCCTGCCAGGAATCCCTGAGCTCCCAGAGTGGGTAGGTGCTCTTCCATGCATGCCACAGCCTGTCTGCTCCCTGTATCAGCGCTCCCGATACAAGGTGTTCATTTATGGTCATTTATACTTTGAGAAATGTTTATACATAGACATTTTCCTTAGCTCCCATAACACCATCGCTATTTATCAGAGAAGAAAATAAAGACTTACAGAGGCCGAGTGACATTCCCATCAATCTCCTAACAGTGTGGCAAACTGAGACAAGAGCCAAGTCTTCAGGTTCTGAAGCCCCTGGTTCTTGTAGAATGAGTACAGGGGAGGTTATATGTAATTATCTGTGTTTATTCTTGCTTGGCCAGTGACTCAGTGAATTAAACTAGTAACAGCTAATGTCTGCTGGAAATTTACATAAGGGAAGGCACCATGTTAATTTTTTCCCCCCACTGCTGAGGACTGAACTCAAGGTCTTAAGAATGCTAAGCAGATGAGATCCATTGTCAACCTTTTTTCCTCCCACCTTTTACAGTATTTTGAGACAGATCCTGCTATGTTGCCCAGACTATCCTTGAACTTGTGACCACTTGCCTCCACCTCCTGAGTAGTTGGGATTATAGGTGTGCACCACAGGGCCCAGTTTGTGTTAAATGTCTTACACACTTTACCTCATTTAAGCAATAACTACCTATGAGGTAAGTATCGTCTTAATTCTCACTTTACAGAAGAGAAAACTGAAGCTTAGAGAGGTTACATGACTTGCTCAAGGGCACAGGTAAAGGTAACAGAACTGGGACCTGCCAGCTCTTCTGAGTCAACACCAGTCGGGATAGGTAGTGACAGGAGAGGCAGAAGAGCAGGTGAGCAAGGGAAGGGAGTCTGAGGAACAAGGAGGAGACTGGAGACTATCCTGGCCTGCAGCGGTAAGCATCCAGAAAGTCAGAGGCTAGGGGTGTAGCTCCATGGTAGAACAGTTGCCTAGAATTCTGAGGCCCTGGTTCAACCCTCAGCACCACAAAACAAACAAACACAAAAGGTCCAACTAAACTTGACTGTTCAGCACAAGTTACTCACTGCGGATTCCTGAGGGTCAGATTGGTAGAGAGGGGAAGAGAGGGGAAGGTAAGCGAAGGGAAGGGATAAAAGGCCAAGTGGTGGGCATGGGTGCTGGCAGTGATGGCTGGGGCAGTAGAGTGACAGTGAGGGTTTACACACTCTGCCCTCAGAGGAGAGGAGCCATGGGAGCAGGATGGAGTGGAATGCCACATAGCGGTGGACATCTAAGTGCCCTCACTTACTGTGGTCAAGTGGCTTCAGGGTGGACACTGGATGAACCTTGGTCTTTTGTGAATGTAGGGTGGTTAGCTGGCAGGTTTCTCCCACACTTCTGGCTCTGACACTGAGGGGAGCTGCTAACACGTAGATGGCCACAGAGACCCCCTGAACTTTCAGATTCATCTGCAAAAGGGTTATGCAAGGCAACCCTAGCAATGGGAGAGCCTTCCTGGCCACAAGGAAGATGTCCTTCTCCCACCTGATGCCTGTGTTTCTGATGGCCTCACCCTGCTCTTCCCACACCTGGCAGGTCTGCAGCAGTGCTCTATGATCTGAAAGGCTAAGAGAAGCAACAGCCAGGGGACTAAGCAGTGGCAAACCCCAACCAGCACTCACTTGGGGATGGCCTAGGGTGGGTAGGGGCTGAGGCTGGGCAGCAGAGGGTGCAAGGAACAGAGTTCCTCCAGAACAGACAGGCCTGCAGAGGAGGGAAAGGTGGTGGGAAGGCAACAGACTCAGTGCATCACAACAGTGAATGAGAGGAGCTGAGAGGCGAGAGAGGGAGAGTAGATGTAGGAGCCAGGGGGAGAGCAGCGTAAGCCTGGGGGGATGTGTTGGGAAGCTTCTGTGACTCACATTTCCTACTTGGGAAGAGCCAGGAAGCCTGTGATGAAATGAGACAGGAAGTAACAATTCTCAGGTCCCAGCAACCAAGTCCTAAAGAGGTCCCTAGGGCCTGACCTGCTAAGCTCCAGTTTCCTCTAAAACACTCCCAGCAACCAATCTCACTCGGCAACTTGCTCGATCTAAACAAGGTGAATAAGGGAGATCTAATCACAGGGTTCACTTCTTGTGCTCACTGAGCAAAAGCAGGGCCTGATGATATCTCTAAATGTGATCGTCTTGCCTGGAGCTCCAGGGAATGGATGCCAGAGAGCGAGATAGACCCACCTGGGCAGGGCTGGCACTGGTTCTCTGAAGGGCAGGAAGCACAGCTCTAAACTGGGGCTGTGACTGCTCTTGCAAGAAGTGGAGGCCCAGCCAGGGAAGACAGGGGAACAGACCAGAAGCTCCGGGGGATGAGTTCCAGAAAAGGTCTCCAGAGGGAGGTGGGGGACTGGGACAGCACTACCCTCAGCAGCTCTGGGGCCAGGCAGGGCTTCCTCAGGGGCCAACAATCATTTTGCCAGGGCCTCCTACTGCTCAGGCTTCGTTCCTGTGCTGTGGTCCCCAGTGCCAGCTAGGCTGGGGAGAGTGGTAGGTCTTCTTTCTTTGCCTTGCCCCAGCTGTTGTCCCCTAGCCCACTGCAGTCTGCTCACAGGCAGGAAGGGAACTCTCCCTGGTTTAATAGAGAGGAGCTCGGGAAGGGGCTGCTCAAGGTTGGCCCAACCCTCAGGGGCAGGTGGAGTAGTGCTTGCACACTGTCATTTACAAACAGGGATGGTGGGAAGTGCCTCATGTCAGAGACAGCCAAGAAGAGGTGAGTAATGATGGTCAGCAAAGACCTGGGAGGTGAGACACAGGTACCAAAGAGCATCAGGGCTCTCAGGTGACCCATGATCTGCTAGTACTTGGTAGTACCTGGGGCAGGGGCTCAGGAATGGATGTGGGTTCTGGAGACACACAGTATCTTGCCACCTCTTCTCTGGAGTTCCTCCTCCCACCAAGGCAAGCCCCCTGAACACTAGACTGCAGGTACCCTTGCCCACTTTTTCACCTCTACTCCTATGCCCACTTGTACTGGGCCCAGGAATGATGCATGAGTGTCAAGAAGCCCTGCATGGCCTCCATCTCTGCTGAAAGCACTAGCTGCTGGTGATTTTGGGGGATGTATGCAGTGAACCTGGGAACAGGAGGTCATAGTGATCTGGGACCTCAAGACATAGCTGTCACCTAGCTCACATGTGGCCTCTTTACTTGTTAGCAGCACTAGAATCTGCAAGGCCCAGAGCTTTTCCCCAAGAAGATCACTCACACAGAAGCAGGAGCTCTGCAGAGCTGAAGCTGACCATGGGTGAAAGCCCACTGAAGCTGAATGCTGCTTCTCAAGTCTTCCTGACCATTCACAGCCAACTGAGAGGAAGGCACTGCAGGAGGAGCAGTTGTCTGGGAGACTGCAGAGCAGCAGAACCTGACATGACATCCTGAGCCTTGACCCCTCCACCCCTTGGACTCGAGACAGGTCAGCAGGCACAGGTATGTAGGGCAGGCAAAGGCTGGCACAGAGGACTGGCAGCATGGTAACTAGAATGGTATGCCCAGCAGGAAGGTGCCAGGGCTCATGCAGAGTGGGGATGGCCTCAGAGGTGGCAGAGAAGGTAGAAGGGTGCCAGAAGCTCTTCCAGAAAGCAAATGTCATTGTCTCCAAAACTTATCCTGCTCTAGCTTGTTAGCCAAGGCCAGAAGGGCTCCATAGCCTGGTATGTGGTGTCACTGAAGAGATCATCAGCTGTCCCCATCTGGGCAGCATTCCTCACAGTGCCTGGCATACATGCACTTTCCTGGTTACTGGGGGCACAACCTGCAGATGCCTCCACGCACAGCCACTTGGCCCTCACAGTCATATTCTCCAAGAATCAATCCCAGGAGATCTCTAGAGCGAAAGGCATAAAGGCAGGCCAGGGCAGGATAAGGAGGAGGTGGCTGAGGGTGCTGGTGGGGGTGGAAAAGGATCAGTACAGAGCTGTTTTACCAGGTGTCAGTTGGGACCAGCCACGGCTGAAAAGGAGAGATTATTACAGACTGCATCCAGAAACCAACCAGAAAACTGGTCACGGCAAGCCCACAGCCAGCGTCCGGCACCTGGCGCTCAGAAGACTATATATCACACAGCTGTCAGGCAGATGGCAGCAATGAAGGGTGGGGGTGGGCTGGCAGGCGTGGTGTGCTGGCCAAGCAAGCAGATGGAGAAGTTGGCCATGCTGTAGGGTGGTGCTGGGCCCAAGTGGTTCTCACAGAGGGTTTCAGCAGAGGTGGCTCACCATTGTCTGGAAGGCCCTGGCAGAGGCACGCCAGTGCTCAGGTAGTGGAGCAGGACAGAGGTCTGGACAGAAAGCCCAGTGCCTGCACATCCCAGGGAAGGGTGTGCTGGTGTCCTTAGTGAGGAGGGAGAAACAGGCAGGATCTGGTCAGTATAGGCTTCTTCCAGCTGAAGATTCTGACCCTTGCTCATAGTCCTGAAGGGTGTGGCAACCATACTGAGAGATGTCTCAAAAGTGAGACATCTGCAAGTTTAGATTTTATTGGTATAAATACTGAGATGGGGGAGACGAGAGAGAGTTCTGTGCTACCAAGACACAAAGCCACCTGGAGCAGCCCCAGCTGGATTCCCTCTATCCACTAGCTCCCCTCCTTTCTCTCTTTTTTTATCTGTTGTTTTGTTTTGGGTGTTTTCGAAACAGGGTCTCACCATGTAGTTCAAGCTGGCCTCAAACTCACAGCAATCCTCCTGCTGCAGCCTCTCCAGTTCTGGGATTACAGGCATGTGCCACCACACCGGCCTTCATCTGGTTTTAGATTGTTTAAACAATTTTTGATTGGCCCCATATAAGGAAATCCCCCTGGCAGTTGAAAATGTCTGCTCTGGTACTGTTGTACTGAATTAGTGACAGGGTGGAGAAATCTAGTCTTTTTTTTTTTTTTTTTTTTTTTTACCAGTTATCCAAGTAGGAGAGAAATCTACTCTTGATAGTTTTTTTCCATAGCCCAATTTTGTTAGCTAACATTTATTAAACCCTATGTTCGAGGCACTGTTCTGAGTAATTTACACATGTGGTTATCAACTCATTTAATCCCTTGTACCTCTATAGTAGCTACTATTACCATTTTATTTCACAAATGGGGTCACAGAAAAGCACAGAAACCAAAACACTTACACAGAAGCCACGCTCCAAGACTCCTGAACCACACTCCTCCTTTCATCAGATTTCTCTTTGGCTCTGGAGCCTGCTGCTTTCAGCTCTCCACCTCCAGATTTCCCAAGCCCACACCCTCAGAACTGGTCTTTTGTTACTTCCTTAAGGGCAGCTGTTGGGAAGTTTTATGTCATGTGTATTTTACCACAAGGTAGAAAAACAAATTAAAAAAAAAAAAAGAGCAAGCCAGATGTGCTGGTACACATCTGTAATCTCAGCACTTGAAAGGCTGAGGCTGGAGAATTGCTGTGAGTTTGAGGTCAGCCAGGACTATAGAGAGAGTCCAAGGCCAGCCTATACTACACAGTGAGACACTGTCAAGAACCCAAAAAGTCAAAAAGAAAAAAAAAAAAAAAGGAGCAGCTGTTAAAGGTTATCTAGGAGAGGGCTGGAGATTTAGCTCAGCGACATAAGCAACTGCCTGACAAGTGCAAAATCCTGAGTTCAATCCCCGTACCACAATAAATAAATAAATGTTACCTAGGAGAAAAAGAGGAAGAGGACTACCTCAGTCTCACCCTTCTTGTCCCGTCACTGCCCAGCCCCAGCCTCAGCATCACTCACCCCCTTGATGTTGCTCATTGGCACCAGGCTCTTGCTTGTCTAGAGTGGAGAGAGTTCATCTTGCAAGGAGTAACTCAGATCCGCCCTTCCTGGAAGGCAGTGTGGAGAGGGACTTTCCCCTGTGCATAGCAGACCACCTCAAAGAGCATCCTTAGAGCCCAGCTCCCTTGGCGGGGTAAGCAGGCTCAACAAACCCTGCAAAAAGTAAGGGGTAGCTCCCTCCCCTACAGACCTGTGCCACACCAGACTCTCTGCTGCCTGCAGTGCTCTCTAACAGCAGCTGTAGTAGCAGAGGAAACGACCAGTCAGCAGCCAGGGTGTAGTCAGAGGGCCCATCTGGGCACATGGGGGCTATGTTAGGACAGTGTCATTCATCCCCAGGAACAGCACCTCCATGAGTCCATCCAGAACACCTGTCTGACGTGCCAGGAAGTCCTAGGAAGTCTGCTTCTGTCCCAGCAATGCCAGCACATCCTCTAGTAGCCCTAGTATTGGCTCCCATTCCAGACTACCTGCCAGGGTCACTAGGAAATCATGGAGCTGGAGGTCAGGGAGCTGGAGAGGTGGGCACTTTCACACTAGTCCTTGCTCCATTCTCCCAGGCTCAAAGGAAGAAGAAATGGTGGTAAGCAGTTGGAACACTAGGGAGCTTGGTCCAGAGTGGAGGGAAAACTTCAGGAAGGACAGACCAGAGCCCAGGGACTATGATCCAGTAGGAGCCAGTCACTGTAAGCAGAGAAATCCAGTGGCCACTAGAGGGTAGAGACCCAGGGCCCTGCCTCTGAGCACAATTGTCTGTCTGGATCTAAAGGTGAAGAGAGATCATGGTCAGCTGAGCCCCACTCATTGGCCTGTAATAAGTCATAGCCTACTTTCTTAGCCCTCACTGTAGCCAGTAGTATGGGTCTGTCCCTCCTTATGCCTTTAGCTTTTCTCTAGCTGCATATCTTCCACCTTCTTAAGTCTCTTTTCCAGCAACCCTCCCGCCCCCCAAACCTGCTCACCTCTCCTCTCACCTGTGCAGCCGCAGTAGCAACAGCAGCAAGAGGAACCAGAACCAGGTTTCCAGTGTAGGAACTAGAATTGAGCTCTGGTATTCTTGCCTCCTGAGGGACAGCTAGGAGAGGGCAGGGGACTGCAGGCAGCCTGAGGTTCCACCAAAGCTGTAGCATGGTCCATCAGGAAACTATATGATAACCTGACAATAAGTTTGTTACCTGAGCCACTGAATATCTGATCCTTTGGCTCTGGAGAAGAGTGTGCTTCTATGGGGGTGAGGGGCAGAAGGGTTTGAGTTGGGAACCTGGGATGCAAAAAGAAAGAGGCAGACATGGAGATGGAGAATTGGAGACCATGGTGTCATATAGTGACCATCATGTCAACTCAGATAGATTGCAAACACCTGGCAGATCAACGGAGCAGAGTTCTGGGTGTGTCTGGATGACTGACCTGCAGGCCAGCATACTGAGGAAGAACCAGCCTGAATGTGGGTGGCCCCAATTTAGAGGCTTATAGCCTGGATGGCATAAAAAAAGAAAGAAGAAAGTTTCCTGCTTTGGAAGAGCTCCATTTTTTGCCGCTGCCTTGGATATCAGTCTCCATTTTCTTCAGCCTTTTAGAAGACACCAGTGACGCTATAGAGACCTCTCAGGCCTTTAACCTTGGACTGGTGCTGTATCCTTGATCCTTCTTATTCTGCAGTTTCCTAGGCCTGAGCAGCTGCTGGCTCTTCTGGCTCTCCAGTTTGCAGGCATGGTGTGGACTGTCCTGCCTCTGATCCTGTGAGCACACGTAAGAATCCCCTCGCACAATCATACACTAGATTTCATTGATTCTGTTCCTCTAGAGAATCCTAACTCATATATAGTGTCTGCAGAAAAATGTAAGAAGACGAAGAGTGTACAAAGAAGCCCAAGAAGCAAGTAGGATTTAGGAAACTGAGAAGAAAAAAGCCCAACAGAAAATAACTTGGCAGTCAGGTATAAGCAGAGGAATAATGAAGACAAAGGCCCGGTCCAGTGATGGAGCATTTAAAAAAAAGGAGCTGCTTTAGATTCGCTACCTAGAACCCCAAAATGTGAACATCTGGGCAGGACCCTGGAGAGCACATAGACAAACCATTCAAGGCCTTTATTTCACTCCAGCTCCACACAGTAATTTGCACTGAGGCACCACCTAACCCTATTTTCCGGGCCCTCTTTCCTTAGAACCCTTTTTCATTCTCTCCCTGAGGCCAACATGTTCAACACTATTGCCCTAGAAGAGTCATTTAGGATCACAGAATTTTAGAGATAGAATGGACACAAAGGACCAGGGATATGGTTCAGCAGCACAGTGCCTGCCTGGCAAGGGCAAGGTCCCAAGTTCAATTCCCAGTAACCCTCCCCCTCCAAAAGAAAGGAAAAGAAAAGAACACAAAAAATTCTTTGGGGAAAAAAACCTTCCATTTGATCTACAAGGAAATTGAAAGCCCCAACCACCAAGATAGTTGGGGATAGTGCTGGGCTTTCCCAAAGCCCATCCAAATTAGGTCTGTAAAATTATAAGTTGCAGCAGAGCCTAGTGTAATCCCAGCACTCAGGAGGCTGAGGCAGGAAGATTGCCATGAGTTTGAGACCAGCCTGAGCTGCATAAGTGAATTCAAGACTAGCTGCACTACATAGTGAGAACCTGTCTCAAACAAACAAACAAAAAATCCAAATTATAAGTTGTATACTTTTGACAAATCTGTTTGACTTATAGTTGATTGAATCTGCAGTTGTGGAGCCCTAGGATAAGGGATTGATGGCAGAACACATTGAGTCAGACAGCAGTGGGAACAATGAGGATTCCCAAAACGAGCATGAGAAATTTCTTGGCAGCCCACACGATGCCTCGCCAAGCAGTTGATTAAGTGATTCTTTTGCTGCCAAGGATTCGGAGAATGTGCTAACTGAGCACTTAGGGTTTCAGGCCAAGGCATCAGGCTATTTGAGTTCTTGTGGTTACTGCTTGGTTACTGCTTTTAGTTGTGTAAGATTCAACAAGGAAAAGACAAGTTCCAACCTAGGAATGCCATAAAAGCAGAGAAAAACAGAGCAGCACACTGAAACTACAGGATCCAGAACAAAAAACTCATCATGTGCCTAGGATACATGAAACAGGTGAGCCTGGAGGGATGGTCAGAATTTTCTGATCTGACAATGAGAATGGATGGAGTCCTAGGAAAGCCAAAGGGGTCGACAGCACTGAAACATTTCCAAAACCTCTCATGGCACACTCTCCATCCGACAAGAAGAGAGGCCTCTCTTGGTAATGCCTGATTGACTGTTTGGTTGGTTGATTTTGTTTTTTGTTTTTTGTTTGTTTGTTTCTTTCTTTCTTTCTGGTTTGCCTTTTGTAACTGAGATATTTATTGCTTACTAGCTAAGTATTTTCCACAATTTCCAGGTCCCTTGCAGGAAGGTGAGCTCAGGCGATTGGCTGTGTCCAGTGAATGATAACTGACCACAGACTTGAAGACCTTGCGAATTTCTCTCTGACAGGCTCTCTCTGTCGAGGCACTTGGGACACTGCATGTTGACATGATGGTGTCACAAGGCTAAAGTAGCCTGAAGTTCCAAATAACCTCACAATATTTATAGTGGACCCTCATTGTGTGTAAGCTCTGTATTGTGAATTTGCCTAAGCACTAACTTTATTGTAACCCCAAAATCAATACTTGCAGCATTTTTAAAAATCACCTGGAGGGATTTGAGCTAAATAACAGACATGTGAGCCAGGCATTGTGGCACAGGCCTGTAACCCCAGCACTCGGGAGGCTGAAGCAAGAGGATCGCTACAAGTTCAAGGCCAGCCTGTATTATTAGCCAGACCCTGTCTCAAAAAGCGAAAAGGCAAAAACAAAAACAAGACAAAGCAAAAATAAACCAGATGTGCAAAACCCTGGAAAGTTTGAGCCGTTTGGCATACACATTCCCAGGTGAGGTCCAACAAAGTGGTGTTCCACTCTTCCTGTTTCAGCTCTTGTTGGTGGCCTTTTGCAGCCTCGTGTCACACTTTTTGGACTTTTACACGTTTTGTTGGAAATCTCACTGCTTAAAAATGGCCCTCATGGGGCTGGGGGTTTAGCTCAGCGGCATAAGCGCCTGCCTTGAAAGCAGGCAGTCGTGAGTTTGATCCCCGGTACCGATACAAAGGAAAAAGACAAAAAAAAAAAAAAAAAAAAAAAAAAAAATGGCCCTCATGCCAGGGAATTAGCTCAGCGGCACAAGGTCATGAGTTCGATCCCAAGTACGCGTCCTGCCCTGCCAAAAATGACCGTCAGTTGGATGTGGTAGCACACGCCTGTAATCTCAACACTTCAAAAGCTGAGGCAGGAGGATCACCACAAGTCTAAGCCAACTGGGCTACATAATGAGACCTCATCTCAAAAAAAAAAGGCCCTCAAACTTAAGGCTAAAGGGCTGTATGATCTTCCTAATGGGCTGATGGCCACAAGTTCAATGTCAATAAAAAACATATACTGTAAATGTGTATGTGTGTGTTTAAGTGTATTTATGAGGCAGGATCTCACTGTGTAGTCCAGGCTGGACTTGAACTCCCTATATATCCCAGCTACCTCAAACTTTCTGTAGCAATCCTCCTGCCTCAGCCTCCTGAGGTCTACAATTACAGGCATGCAGCACCATGCCCAGTTTAAATAACATATATTAAACAGGTGTCTATAAAAAGAAACACACAAAAACAAGGTTATGTATGATCATTTGCTAAAAATGTGGCTGGGCAAATGGAGATGTCTAGTAGGGAGCTGGATATTGTAGTTCTCCTGGAACTTTTTGTGTCTTTTTTGTTTGTTTGTCTTTTTGAGAAGAGTCTCACTATGAAGTTCATGCTGGCCTTGAATTCACTTTGTAACTGAGACTGGTCTCAAAGTCAAAACAATCCTCCTGCCTTCGCCTCCCAAGTGCTGGGATTACAGGCATGCTCTACCATGCCAGGCTTCGTGTGCCTTTTTTTCCATACCAGGGATTGAACTCATGACCTCAGACTTGCCAGGCAGGCATTTATGTCATGTGTCTTTTTGAAACAGGGTTTCACTAGGCAGTTCAGGCTGGCCTTGAACTCACTTTGTAGCCCAGGCTGGCCTTCAACTCAGCAGTCCTCCGGTCTCAACCTCTTTTATAGGCGAAATATAACTCCCAACCTGCTAGATGTTCAAAACACTGAGTTCATGTTCTCTAAAATTGAGGAATAAACTCTAGGAAAAACAGGCTAAGAGTAGGAAGGATTTATTGAGAGAAAGCAAGCTTCTGTGGAAGAGGGGCAGAAGGGGGCCAGGAAAGTGAGTTGCCCACCAACCCTGCTTCTCAAGCCACAAGGTGAGGTAGGTTTAAAGTGGGACAGAACTATAATCAATCAATAAGATTAGGAGCATTGCTTAGGTAATACTGATCCAAAGGAAAATAATAGGATGGCTCTGAGGTGGGACAAAACTATGGTCGATTAATAGGGTTATAAGTCACTTGTGTAATGATGATTAAACTGGGGGTCAAATAGGGTAGCAAGTCACATAGCAAGCACACATGGGATGCACATTGACATTCTTGGAAGGGGTGGGTTAAGGAGGTTTGGTCCTCCACCCCAAAGTGACTGATGTCTAGAATACCATCCCTAGAGGAAGTATATGGGTGAGTAGTTTCTCTTTTTCCTGAAGCCTGGCTTTTAGTGAATATGCCTCCAACCACCGTTGTCTTCTGTAGTGATCTCTCTAGGGCCCAACCCTGTCTGACTGCCTACAATATTTCTACCTAATTTAGCTGTCTATAATACTGGGATTATAGGAATGTGCCACCACGCCCGGCACTCCCTGAAGTTTTAAAGAGCGGTCTGGGCTGAAAATGGATTTTAAAGTCCTTAGCATACATCACATGGTAGTTTGAAACAATAAAAATGGATGAACCTAGTGAGAGTTGTAGAATAAGAGCAAAAATAACTGAGAGCCATACATTTAAAGCTTGGAAAGATGACCAGCAACAAAATAGAGGGAGCCAGGCATAGTGACACAGCCCTGTAATCCCAGCACTGGGAGGCTGAGGCAGGTGAGTTTGAGGCCAGCCTGAGCTACATAGTGAGTAC